GCGGTTTTTATTTAAAAAAAAAAAAGTTTTAAAAACTTTTTTTTCCCATAACTTACTTATGCAACCATTTAGACAGTTAGTGAGTGAGTGGGTGAGTGGGTGAGAGAGAGGCTAATGGATTTCCAATTTTTATATTAACTGTTTATGATTTATGCAATATATTTTCAATTCAAATAACCAAGGTAGCTTAATGTAGATTAAAAAAAATATTATATATATATTTTTTTAATTAAAATTTTTAATATACTGTAAAACTAATAATAACTAATAGATAATATAAATAAATAATTTTGTTTTAGTTAAATTTTTAATCATAATAAATTATTATTATTTTTAAATATATTTATTTAAAATATAAAATTTAAATTAAGCTATTATTATAAATTACATTTAACATTTAAACATTTAATTACATTAAAGTTTTATTATCCAAAATAAATAAATAATAGTATATTAATTAAAAACTATTTTGTTATATATATATATATATATATTTTTTATTTACTATTATCAGTAAAATATGATTAATTAAAACAAATAATTTTTTGTTGTCATTACTATTAATAAAATTGCAATTTTTAAAAAATAAAAATAAATGTAGGTTTGTCTACACTATCGTATATATTTAACACTGAAATTTATTTTATATAAAGTATAGTAAAAGTATAAATATTATTATTATTATTATTATTATAATTATTATTATTATAATGAATTACTAATGAGATAATAATAATAATAATAAATTAGAGTAAACTGTATTTTTTTTATTTGGGGTTTAATTTTCCTAGAAATTCATTAAAACAAAAAACTAATTTATTTGTTGTTTCTTATATATATGAAAGTAAAAGTATTATATAATAATAATAATAATACAGTACTACTACTACTACTACTACTAGCACTGTTGGGGGGTATTCAGGGATAGGCATACACTATAAGCTTAGGGATGTAAACAAATTTATAGATACTGTACTAACTTATACTACATTACTATTCAATACTATATTATATATTATATATACCTATAAAACTGTTGAAAGTGATAGCACTGATAGGTTTTAATGAATATATGAAATAAAATAAAATAAAATAAAGTTTATGTAATAATATAAAGTTCAAGGCGTTAACCAAATTAAATCTATTGTACTGTATATACATATATATATATATATACTGTATATATATATATATGTATATATGTATGAAAAATAAAGGGTATATAAAGCCAGTGAGAAAAATCATTTAATATTATAAAAAACATTTATTATTATAATAATAATAAAAACTTTCAATATTTCAATAACTGTGAGTGTATTTAACAGAAAAAGTTTAATAATTTTTTTTTTTTATTAATTTTGTAAAATTAATTGTGATTTTTATTTTTTTATTTTTTACTTTCTATTTTAGTTAAATTATTTTTTTTATAAATATTTGAAAAATTACTACAAATTTATTAAATATGTTTAGAGTAAGTATTATTATTGTTATTATATCTATTTATTTTAATATTTATTTATTTTATTAAAATATATGTGTGATTACTATAGTATAGCTATAATTGTCTAAAATTTTAAATATTTTTTTAATTTATTGTTTTATATAAAAAAACTAAATAAAAAAATAAATTCAATTTCAATGTTAAGAAAAACTAATCTCTAAATTTTATTTATTTAAGTTTTTTTTATATAAATATTATTTTTTATTTGCTAAAATAATTAGTTAATTTATAAAAAAATTAATAAAAAAAAACATTATTATAGTTTAAATCAAAAAATTTTACGCTTATTTAAACTGGAAGTGAAATAAAATTTGTTGTAATTTTTTATATAATTTTAATTATAATTAATTAGTTTTAGTTTTTTTTTGTTTTTATAAATTTTAACATATTTTTTTAATATCTATATCTTTTATTTTATTTTTATTTTTTTTGATGATAACAACTAACTCATCATTACTTTTATATATATATAAAACTTTTTTAGATAAAAAATTTTATTTGAATTAATTAACTAATAATTAATTTCTTATTTTTGTGATTCAAATCTTCAAAAAAAAAACTATTCAATCAATTATTACAACAGTTATTAGCCATTACTTTGTTGGCCGCCGTCCAGTGCTCGGCCAGTGGTTACGGTGGCGGATATGGCGGTGGACTGGGAGGTGGCTATGGAGGCGGAGCTCTATTGTTAAGCTCCGGCGGTTACGGTGGTCACGGAGGATACGCTAGTAGTCTGGGCGGTGGTTACGGTGGTAGTCTAGGCAGTGGTTACGGTGGTTACGGTCACGGCCGTATCAATGCCGCTGTCCATAGCACCCGACACGTCGATGTAGTTCCCGTACACAGTAGCTACGGTCACAATGAAGCCACTGTTGTCGACATTGATTCCGGGGATCAACCAGTAGTATTGAATTTCAACTCCCGATCCTCATCGTTGATTGCCCGACAAAATCATCTGGGATCGCCAGGTACTGTCCAACAAACCCAATCGGTGGATGAACCCCATCGATTGATACATGAAGTTACCCGACCGGTTATCCAAGAGATTCGGGAAGTTATTGCCCCACAACGTAATGTTGTCCAAGAGGTTCGGCCAGTAGTCGAAAATGTCCAGACAGTTGTAGCCCGCGGTGAAGGCGGCCGTGGATTGGCCGTCGGTGGTGGTGCCGGTGGTCTCGGCGGTGGACTCGGCGGTGGTCTCGCTGGAGGACTCGGCGGTGGTCTCGGCGGCGGATTCGCTGGTGGTTTGGGCAACGGTTTTGGTGGTGGACTCGGCGGAGGTCACGGTTTGATTCTCAGTGGTGGAGGTCATGGAGGTCTCGGTGGCGGTTATGGCGGTAGTCTTAAATTGGGCGGCAGTTATGGCGGTGGTCGTGCTGCCTACTAGAGTGTCCAGTCGGTCAGCACCGGGATGTTAGAAAAAAATAGCCAAATTTTTTTTTGTTGATATATATATATATGTTTATTAGTAAACATATAAATTGTATTTAATTATATTGTTTTTTAATCCAAACTATTTTTTAATTGAATTTATAGATATATAATAACTACTATTTTTTTAGTCACTTATTTTATTTTTTWTATATAAAAAATATATATTATTTTATTTTTATTAGTATTATTAGTAAACATTTCATTATACCAGTGATTTTGTTGTAAAAATCAAATATATTTTTTTTTYGATTAAAAATTTTATAAAAAATATTTTATTAATTAAACTATAATACTATGTAATTTGATAAAAAGCAAATTTTTAAAAAAATAAAAATAAATACATTAATAAATAAATTTTTATTAATTATATCAATAAATATAATTTTTAATATTTTTTACATATATTATATTTATTGCAAACATTTAGCAATTAATTTTTAAAAAAATTTATTATAAACTATAAGTTTTTAATTGAGTTTTATATTAACTATATATAAATAATAATTTCAAATTTATTTATTTGGCCTATCATTTCAGTTTCACATTAAAACATCAATAAAATAAAATAATAATAATAAATATTTATTTATTTATTTTTTAAAAATATATCATTTTCAAAGTATTTATCCTATTTTTTTTAAAAAATATAATAATTATTTATTTATTGTAATTTTCAAAAAAATATAAATAGTACAAAATTTTTTAATTTTTAAAAAATAATATGTTTAAATTTTTTTTAATTTAAATGTATTTTTATATTTATTAAATATATATTAAATAACAAACTTACAATTAAATAATAAATATTTAAATTATATTCAGTATTATAATTATTAAATAATTTATAAATTAATAACATTTGAAATTTTAATTTATTTTAATTATAATTATTATTTTAATCAATTTATTTGTATCATTACTATAAATACTTAAGTAAAATAAAATCATACAAAAATAAATAATTAATTAATAATTTAATTATTTTAATTTTTTTCTATAAATTACTAATTTAATTATAATTATTTATCTAGATAATTTTAATATTTTTTTTTTAAAAAAAATTAATACTTTTTTTSTTACATTAAAATTTTATTTGGATTGAATTAATTTATTATATTTTTTCTGAATATTTATTTATTATCATTAGTTAGGAGATTAAAATTATATTAATATTATTAATTTTGTTTGTTTGTTATCTAACTGTGTTTTTTTTAATATAATATAATGTGGGTCTGTCTACATATCCCTAAACATTCAAAAAAATTATTAGTACAGTTAATATATACTGTATATATATATATATATATATATATATAAATAAATCACTAAATAAGATAATGAAATTAGAGTAAAAATGTGATTTAATTTCTCACTCTCTCTCTCTTTCTCTCATAAAAAAGTTAAAAATCATTAATAATTTAAATATATGTTATCTTTCTATGTCTTATATATATGTAATGTGTTTGTGTGATATATAGGGGATTGTCATAGAAAAGTGTAAGTGTTTGTATGTATGTGTGTTTGTATGTATGTGTGTTTGTATGTATGTGTGTTTGTATGTATGTGTGTTTGTATGTATGTGTGTTTGTATGTATGTGTGTTTGTATGTATATGTGTTTGTATGTATGTGTGTTTGTATGTATGTGTGTGTGTTTAAGCTTAGGGTTGTATAGATATATATATGATATTAAAGTTGCATACCATATGTAAATATACTGTACATAYATATATATATATATATATATATATATATATATTGATACAAATAAATATTGATAGCACCGATAAACTAAACTTTTTCCGTCAAAAAAAATTTAAAAGGGATGTCATATAACTCATGAGGGGGTCTAACCAAACCAACTAATCTATTGTAAGTTACAATTAATGTAAAAACAAGTAGTATATAAAGTCAGTGAAAAACTATATATCGAAATCATAAAAATTCAAAAACATTTTTATTTAGTTTTACAACTAAAAAAATTTTAAGTTTTAATTTTAAAAAAATTAAAAGTTTGGATTACTTTTGTGTTATTAATATATATATTATTTTTTGATAAAAAAAATCATGTTTAGAGTAAGTATTTATGTATATTTTATAAAATTTAATTTTTTTTATAATAGTTAACAAAAATTTTTAATTTCATTGATAAACTAAAAAACAAAATTATATATAAAAAATAAAAACTTTTTATTTTATTTATTTAATATTTACTAGTTTTATGTGAAATAATTTTTTTATTTAAGCAATTAATCTATTAATTACTAACTGTTGAAAATTATTTCAATAAATTATATTTAATTTAAAATGTTTTATAATTTTTTTTTTGTTTAACAGTTATTAGCCATTACTTTGTTGGTCGCCGTCCACTCAGCCAATGCTTACGGATCGGGAGGCGGAGGAGGACTGGGAGGTGGTTATGGTGGCGGCGCTGCCCTATTATTGAGCGCCGGTGGTTACGGTGGTGGTGGTTATGGTGGCGGCGGCGGTGGATACGGTAGCGGTGGCCGAATCAATGCCGCTGTCCAGAGCTCCCGACACGTCGATAGCTATCCCGTCCAAAGCGACTACGGCTACAGTGAACCGGCTGTTGTCGACATTGATTCAGGCGATCAACCAGTAGTACTGAACTTTCARTCCCAGTCCTCATCRTTGGTTGCCCGACAAAATCAYCGSGGCTCAGCCGGCAGTGTCCAACAAACCCAGTCAGTGGATGAACCCCATCGATTGATACATGTAGTTACCCGACCGGTTATCCAAGAGATCAGAGAAATTATTGCTCCGCAGCGTAATGTTGTCCAACAGGTTCGGCCAGTTGTCGAAAATGTTAGGACAGTTGTAGCCAGAGGTCAGGGTGTAGGAGGCAATGGTGGAGGTGCTGGCGGTTTGGGAGGTGGTCTCGGTGGMGGACTCGGTGGTGGACTSGGAGGTGGTTTGGGWGGWGGACTTGGAGGCGGTTTTGGAGGTGCCAGTGGTTTAGGCGGTGGATTYGGTGGTGGATTTGGMGGCRGTTTAGGCGGTGGTCTYAGTCTTGGACACGGTTTGGGCGGCGGCGGYGGACACAGTGGTGGTCTATTGCTGGCCGGTCTCAGTGGTGGTGGTGGCGGCGGCGGCGCCTATGGCGGTGCTCGCGCCTACTAATTGTAGTCTAGCACCGGGATCTACATATTATTTTTACAACAAAAAAAAACATAATATGAATCTCAATTTTTTGTTTAAATTATAAATTTTTTTTGTATTACTATTTTATATTTTTTTAGTCAATTAATATTATTTTTGAAAATTGTTTTTTTAATAAGTAAGAAAAAAATTAGTCTATTTATAAATTATTTGATTTTTATATTAATTATTTTTATTATTTTGATTGAAAAAATTTTAATAAATAATTACATAAAACAAAAAAACTTAATGATTTTTTTTATTTCTAAAATATATAACATTTTATATTTAACATTATAATTATWATTATTATTATTTTGGTATTTTTTTGTATAATTAAAAATTAAAATATAGATGCGAAAACTAATAATTAAATAAATAAAATACCTAAATTGTAAATAATTTTTTAAATAAATATTTTGTTTTTAAATATTAAAAGTTTTTTAAATAAAAAAATCATATATATTTTACTACAAAATTTGATAATACAATATACTARCAGAATATATATATATTTTATTTTATTATTATTATTAAATATATAAATAAATTATTTTTTAAAACTAAATATAAATTMAATTCTATTAAAATATTAAATAATTTTAAAATAATTTTTAACAAAAAAAAAATTATAAAATAACATAAATTATAATAATTAAAATCATTATAATTAGAAAAACTTATTGGAAATATTTATATTACATTTTTTACTGAGAATAATATCAAAAAAAAAAAATTTGATAGAAATTTTTTTTGTTGGAAAAATTATATATATATATATATATATACTGTACATATATACTGTATATATATACTGTATATATATATATAAATATTTTACATTTATTTTATAAAAAAAATTTCATTAATAAAAATGTCTAAWCACTGTACAGTACACCCCCTTTCTAGAGACACACATACAGAYAAAAAAAATCTAAACTCTGGTATCTAAGTAGGTTTGAGTGTATGTATGTATGTATRTATGTATGTGTATGTATGTATGTATGTGTGTGTGTGTGTGTGAATGTRTGTGTATGTGTGTTGTGTGTKTAAAAGCTTAATGTTGTTAATACTGTACAAAGTGCATACCCATATATATTATCATCATATAATAAATGATACAAATAAATTATAATTGAGACAAAAAAATATATAATATTTAAATGATTAAAACACCGATAACTTTTCAAAATTAAAAAAATAAAAGTTATAATCATATAACAACTCCGTTAGGTGTCTAACTAACTAATCAATTATATATATAYAACTATAACAAGWGTCGGTATATAAAGTCGGACTAAAAGCTGTATTTTGAAAATATATTTTAAAAAAATAAAAACTTAAATTTTAAGATATTTTATTTTATTTTTAAAAAGTGCAAAAATCTTATTAATTGTGTTTCTATTAAATTGTGTTTAATTTTCAACTTATTTTGTTTTAATACACACATTGGTTTAATCATCAAAAAAAAAATAATGTTTAGAGTAAGTCATATGATATTTTATTTTAATTAAAAAAATAAAATATATATTTATTTTCAACATTAGACTTAAAAACTAATATTAATGTTTGAATTTAATAGTATTTTATTTATTTTTTTCTAATAAACTTTAGATAAATGTTAATTTCAATGTTAGAAAAACTTAATTTTTTRTTTTTTTTACTAAATTAAGATAATTAGCTAGATAATTTATTTATTATTAGTTAAATAATTTTAACAATTTTTTTATTATTTTGATTAACATTAAAAATCTAAAATACCAATAAAATCTAACTTAACTTTTATTATTTATTAATAGTTTTATATTTATTTATTTTATTTTTTTAAAATTTTGATTATTATAAAGTTTAACAATTTATTTATATGTCTATAAAAACCAAATCAGTTATTAGCCATTACTTTGTTGGTCGCCGTCCACTCAGCCAATGCTTACGGATCGGGAGGTGGCGGAGGACTGGGAGGTGGTTATGGTGGCGGCGCTGCCCTATTATTGAGCGCCGGTGGTTACGGTGTTGGTGGTTATGGTGGCGGCGGCGGTGGATACGGTAGCGGTGGCCGAATCAATGCCGCTGTCCAGAGCTCCCGACACGTCGATAGCTATCCCGTCCAAAGCGACTACGGCTACAGTGAACCGGCTGTTGTAGACATTGATTCAGGCGATCAACCAGTAGTACTGAACTTTCAATCCCAGTCCTCTACGTTGAGTGCCCAACAAAATCATCAGGGTAGTCCAGGCAGTGTCCAACAAACCCAGTCAGTGGATGAACCCCATCGATTGATACATGTAGTTACCCGACCGGTTATCCAAGAGATTCGGGAAATTATTGCYCCACAACGTAATGTTGTCCAACAGGTTCGGCCAGTTGTCGAAAATGTTAGGACAGTTGTAGCCAGAGGTCAGGGTTTAGGAGGCAATGGCGGTGGAGGTGCTGGAGGTTCAGGCGGTCTGGGAGGTGGTCTCGGTGGTGGACTTGGAGGTGGTTTGGGAGGAGGAGGACTTGGAGGCGGTTTTGGAGGTCTAGGCGGTGGTGCCGGTAGTTTAGGCGGTGGATTCGGTAGTGGTTTTGGCGGTGGTCTTAGTCTTGGACACGGTTTGGGCGGCGGCGGCGGACACAGTGGTGGTCTATTGCTGGCCGGTCTCAGTGGTGGCGGTGGCGGCGCCTATGGCGGTGCTCGCGCCTACTAATTGTGTGTCTATGTGTGTGTGTGTGTGTGTAGCACCGGTATCCAAATAGTCTACCAATAGATACACAATTGTTTTTTTATTAAAAAATTTAAATATAAATCTCAATTTTTTTTTATGTTTGATTGTTTAAATTATAAATTTTATTTTACTATTATTTTTTTTAGTCAATTTATTATTAATTAATTAATTAATTAATTATTTTTTTTGATACTGAAATTGTTTTTTAATAATAAAAATTTATTTATAAATTATTTGACTTTTATAATTGCATTATTATTATGAAAATATTAATTAATTAATAAATTTTTTCACAATAATATTAAAAAAAATGATATTAAAATKATTTTATTTCTAAAAATATTTCTAATATGATATTTATTTAAAAAAAAATTATTTTACAATATTGTAATTGAGTTGAATTAAATGAAAAATYWAAAAAAATTTATTTAAAAAAGTAATAAATAAATAACTAAATAGTAAATAATTAACTAAATATTTTTTTATTATCTAAATATTAAAATTAATGTTTTTCAAATGTCAAAATGTTATTACAATAAAAAAATATTTGTTTTTCAAGTTATTATATTTTATTTTTTTATTATTATTATTTATATATATWTATATATATATATTTAAATTTTAAAACTAAATGTTTAATTAATTTCTATTCTAATATTATATAATAAWTTTTATATATAATATAAAAAATGTATATAATTTTTTTAAATGATAAATTCAAAAAAATTAAAATATCTATATATTAATATTGGGAAATATTCCAGAAAATATATTTTGAAAATAAAGTGTCTTTAAAAAAAATTTYTCATTGATTATTTAAAAATTTCAGAAAAAAAATTTAAATACATTATATTACACTCCCTTTTCTAGACATAAAAAAATGCTAAACTCTATTATCTATGTAGGTTTGTGTGTGTRTGTGTGTGTRTGTGTGTGTATGTGTGTGTATGTGTGTGTAATGTGTGTGAATGTGTGTGTATGTGTGTGTATGTGTGTGTATGTGTGTGTATGTGTGTGAATGTGTGTGAATGTGTGTGAATGTGTGTGTATGTATATATAAATGTATGTATGTATGTGTGTGTCTGTGTGTGTATGTATGTGTGTATATGTCTGTATATGTGTGTATATGTGTGTATATGTGTATGCATGTATGTGTGTGTGTGTATGTATGTATGTGCGTTTGTATGTATGTATGTATGTATGTGTGTGTTTATATATTTATGTATGTATGCATGTATGTAGGTGTGTATGTGTTTGTATGTTTATGTGTATGTTTGTGTWTGTGTGTGTGTGTGTGTATGTGTGTGTGTGTGTGTGTGTTTGTATGCTTAAAGTTATGTAAATAAATTGCATACCATATATCATCATATATTAATTGTACAAATAAATTATAATTGAGAAATAATAACATTAAATAAARTGATAGCCATCGATAACTTTTTTTGTAAATTAATGTTAAAATATTTCAAATTTTTCAAACTATCAAATAGTTGTCTCAACTAATCCTAATCTATTGTAATCATTAGGTATATAAAGTCAATGGAAAAAACATAATTTTATTTAAAATCATAAAAATTCAAAAAATAAATTAAAAAGTGAATCAAAATTTTTGTGTGTATTTTATTATATTAGTTTGTTTTTTAATATTTTAAAAATTAAACACATTTTTATTACTTAACATCAAAAAAATATGTTTAGAGTAAGTATTGAAAAAAAAATTATTTATTAAATATATTTTAATTTTAAAAACTTATTTAATTAGTATTAAACATTAAATGTTTAGAAAATCAATTTTTCTTATATATATTTATTTTATTTTTTAATTATTAAGTTAAAAAACAATTTTCAATTTCAATGTTATTAACAAACAAACAAAAAATAAGCGAAACTAAAAAACATATATAATTTTATTTATTAATATATTTTTTTTTAATTTRTATTTATTTTTTTTGCTATTTAAAAGATAATAATTATCTATTGAATTACACTAACTATTATAGTTTAAATAACTTTTTTTWWKTTTTATTTTTTTTTTAATTTTTTTTGGACATTAAAAATCTTATAGAAATGTAATAAAATCTTATTTAACTTTTGTTTTTATTTATTATTATTTTTTTATAATTATTTAGTTGTTTTAATTTTTTTTAAAAAACATTTATTTTAAATGATAACAACTCATCATAATTACAACACATTACTAAACTATTTCATTATTATTACTATTATAAAAATATTTGAAAAAACAAAACAATTTTATTAAAATATTTTCAAATTCAATTTTTTTTACTAAATTAAGATAATTAGCTATTAATTATTAGTTAAATAATTTTAATAATTTTTAATAATTTTTTTTTAAAAAATTATTTTGACTAACATTAAAAATCTAAAATATCAATAAAATCTAACTTAACTTTTATTATTATTGTATTATTAGTTTTATATTTAATTTTTTAAAAATTTTTGATTTTAATAAAATTTAACATTTTTTAATGTTTATAAATATTATTAAAAAAAACAGTTATTAGCCATTACTTTGTTGGTCGCCRTCCACTCGGCCAATGGTTACGGATCGGGTGGTGGAGGAGGACTGGGAGGTGGTTATGGTGGCGGCGCTGCCCTRTTATTGAGCGCCGGTGGTTACGGTGGTGGTGGTGGCGGTGGATACGGTAGCGGTGGCCGAATCAATGCCGCTGTCCRCAGCAGCCGACACGTCGATAGCTATCCCGTCCAAAGCAACTACGGCTACAGTGAACCGGCTGTTGTAGACATTGATTCAGGCGATCAACCAGTAGTATTGAATTTCAAYTCCCGTTCCTCGACGTTGATTGCCCGACAAAATCATCGGGGATCGCCCGGTTCTATACAGTCAACCCAGTCAGTGGATGAACCCCATCGATTGATACATACAGTTACCCGACCGGTTATCCARGAGATCMGGGAAATTATTGCCCCCCAACGTAATGTTGTTCAAGAGGTTCGRCCAGTTATCGAAAATGTTAGGACAGTAGTAGCCAGAGGACAGGGATGTAGGAGGCAATGGTGGAGGAGGTGCTGRMGGTCTGGGAGGTGGTTTCGGYGGAGGAYTCGGTGGTGGTCTGGGGGAGGCGGAYTTGGAGGTGGTTTCGGTGGTCTGGGCGGTGGATTCGGTGGTGGATTTGGTGGCCGATTAGGYGGTGGTGGTGGTGGTAGAGKTCTCGGACTTGGTTTAGGCGGYGCCGGCAGAGGACACGGAGGCGGTCTATTGCTGGGCAGTCTCGGTGGTGGTGGTGGTGGCTATGGCGGTGCCTACTAATTGTRTRTATATATATATATATATATATGCACCGGGATCTCAATAGCCCCCCCCTTCCTCCATAAATAYACATTTTTTTATCTCATTSTCAAAAAATTATAGATTAATTATTTTATATATATATAACTTTTATTATTTAATTTTTTACAAAATTTATTAATAATTTACAAAAACAAACAAAAATAAATCTATTTATAACTAAATTTTAAGTAAAATATTATGAATTATTACGGAAAAAAAATTTATGTATCAATAAATTCATTAAATAAATAAATAATTATTATATAAAAATTATTGTCTAGTTTTAAATTAATTTTTTTTCATTTAATAAGACAATGTTTTTCAATAGTTTGCAATAAATGTTACAAATTTTGTTATACAAAAGTTTATAACATTTACTTTTAAAGTGTTTTAATTTATTATTAAAAGTAAATTATTATTTAAAGTGAAAATAATAATAATAAATAATTATTTCACAATTTTTTGGATGATATATAACATTATTTTTTTAGTTTCTAATTATTATCTTTATAACTGCTTATTTCATTATCACAATTAAAAAAACAATAAATAAATGATATTTTTTAAYACGTTTTTAMAAAATAAAAATAAATATAATTTTTATTTCAATTAAGAAATAAATGTCACACAAAAATTAAATGTAATTTTTACTTTAAAAAAATWAATGTTACAATTGTAGTATAAATCTTAAGTAGAAAAAAAATTAAATAATAATAATAATAATAATAATAATAATAATAATAATAATAAATTAAAATAAATAAATAATTTGATAAATTTWAAGACATTTTTGTTTTGAAAAAAAACTATTAGAAATTKTTATATAAAAAAAACCATTTTTTTTGTTTGTTTCACATTTTAATACAGTTTTTATTTTAATTTTATTAAATTATTTTTTTGATAACATCATTGTGTGTGTGTGTGTGTTAAGCAATGTTTTATAAAATAAATAAATTAAAATATTTTAATTTTATCCACAAAAAAAATAATGATCAAAAATTGGCTTAAATTACTTAAATTAAGATATATAAGTATAAAATAATATAATATTAAGATTTATTATTAATTTTTTAATTTTAAKAAAAAAATATCCAATAGTTTAATATTGATAATAATAATATTGATTAATTTTTATTTAATAATTTTTAAATATATATTTTCTATTATTTTTTAAAAATTATTTAATTATAAAACACATAGAAATAAAATTATTATAATATAATATAAACTATTTTTTTTSTWTATTAATTRTTTWWTAATTTAAAATATWCACACATAAAATAGTAAAAGTAGATTAAATACTRGTATTATGTAAATGTGATATACTGTATGTTAATATATTTTATAAAATTTTAATACTTAAATAAAACAGTTTACTATATTGTTTGTCTCCCAACAAAAAAAAAACCAAAATATAAAAAAAAATATTTTATAAAACACAAATTATTTAATAATAAAAATAAACATAAACTAAAAATTTTTTTTAAAAATTTTTTATTTAATTAAAACAAAACAAACAAAAAATTAAAAAAATGTTTTTAAAAATAAAACAGTATATATATAAGCTGATTGTTACCAACACTTATATATATAGTTAGTTTAATTTTACTTTCAATTTTAAGTTTTATATATATATATATTTAAATTTTTAATTAAAAGTTTTCTGTACCTAAACTAATATATATATATATAAATAATATAAAGTTTTTTTAAACTACATTAAAATGCTAAGAGTAAGTAAACTCATATTAATTATTAGTATTTATTTTAATTAATTATTAAATATATTTTAATTAATTATTAAATATATTTTAATTAATTATTAAATATATTTTAATTAATTATTAAATATATTTTAATTAATTATTAAATATATTTTAATTAATTATTAAATATATTTTATTAATTATTAAATATATTTTAATTAATTATTAAATATATTTTAATTAATTATTAAATATATTTTAATTAATTATTAAATATATTTTAATTAATTATTAAATATATTTTAATTAATTATTAAATATATTTTAATTAATTATTAAATATATTTTTATTTATTTATTTTTTTTTGTACAAACAGTTTGTTGTAATGGTATTAGCAGTGGTCGTCCACTACAACCACCAGTGCTATGCCAGTGGTTACGGAAGTTATGGTGGTGGCGGCGGTGGACTTATTGGTGGTGGTTATGGTGGTGGAGGATATGGAGGTGGTCTGGGAGGCGGTATGGGTGGAGGAGGACTTGGACTAGGATTTGGCGGCGGAATTATCGGCGGCGGTGGTGGTGGTGGTCGTGTAAACGCTGCCATTATTAGCTCACGTAGTCTACAGCTAATACCKACCGGCAGTCAACTGGGATCATCSGCACCGACCATTGTCGACGTCGATAGCGGCGTACAACCCGTCCAATTGAATTTTGTCAGTCGATCGTCACCGTTGTTGGCCACCCAACATCATATCGGCCAACAGGGTAGCCATCAGTCCASYCAATCGGTCGATCAGCCRCATCAGCTCAGCCACGAAGTCRTACGACCTGTTTTCCAGATGGTYCGCGAAGTGGTTGTACCCCAGCGTCAGATCATCCAAGAGATACGTCCGGTTGTCGAGAATGTCCAGACACTGGTAGCCACTGGTCAGGGAAGAGGAGGTMTCGGCGGCGGCGGATTTGGTGGCGGATTCGGTGGCGGATTCGGCGGCGGCATTGGTGGCGGCGGCTATGGAGGCGGTATTGGTTTGGGYGGTAAAGGAGGTGGCGGTGGTGGTGGTGGYTATGGWGGCGGTCTATCAATGGGTTTCGGTAAAAGACATTATTAAATAAAAGGACAGTTAGTTTTTTTTTTATGGTCTAAYGGTTTGATTTGATTTGATACCTAATTTAAGACACAATTTTTATTTACATTGTTTTTTAAAASTATTATTATTATTATTACTATATTTGTAAAATAAATTATATATAAAAACTAATTATTATTATTATTACTATTTTTGAWTGAWWGTATAATACTGTACAGTAATATTGTTAATAATTGTTTTTTTTTAAAAATTCATTCAAAATTAAATAAAAATAAAATATTGTATTAAAAAATGATTATTATTTTATACAAATTATATTATCGATAGTTGACTATTGGATAATATTTTTAGTGTTTWTAATATTTAAAAATTATTTTTTTTTTCTAATTATATTTCTATTTTTCCATAAATATRTAGAATATGAAAAAATTTAATCAATAAAAAATATATAATAATTAAATWTATAATAAAAAAWAAATATTAAGTTAATAAATAATATAATTATTAATTATTAATAAATAAAATACATATATAGAAACTGTAAACAATAATTCAATTATATWAATAAATTTAATTATTAATTATTTGTTATGTATTTAAAAAAAAATACTTAACTGACAATATTAATTAAAAAAAAAATGTAATGTTTAATTTATATAAAATGTATATAAAAGTCTAAAWGTTATACAAATWAAATATTAAATTTATTATAAATATATATTATAAATTTTTATATATAATWATAATAAATATTATAACAAAAAATTTAAATAACTAAATAACTATTTTTTTTATTATTTAATAAACTATTGATAAAATTATRTTTATAATTGTTATATATATATTTGTAATTTATTATTTTACAATTAGTATAATTATTGTATTTCAATATCATAATTATAATTATATCAACAACAAAAAATATTTTTAATACAATATATTTTTCAAACTAAAAATTATTTATKATWAATATWATAAAATTYTATTTATATATTATGTAATATTAAGTTRAATTTTATTGTTGTTGTTGTWAACAATTTTTTTAATAWTTTACATAATTTACACAAAATAAAAGTAAACTATTTTTTATTTGTTTGTTTGTTTAGTAAACTGTTTTAAAATTWAAATGTAATTTATTTTTTKTTTAYACAACAAAAAACTATAAAAAWWTTATAATGAAATAGAAATCTAAACTACATTACTGTATATATAATATATATATATTATAAAAAGTGAAAGTTTTATAAATAATAATAAAAATTAARCTCTCATTTAATTTTTATATTCATAATTTTTTTAAGTTTGCAAAAATATATATATATAAAAATATAKTTTTATTTGCTRTTTAATAAAAATGACRAAATATTTTTKGKGTATATATATRAGGGGTAGTCATCACCGACAGTCAGTCAGTCAGTCAAACATTAATTTAATAAACAGTTTTTAATTAATTAAATAACTATTAAAACTAGTAAAATATGTTTAAAGTTAGTAAACTATTACTGAAATTTTTAATTTATAAATAATATTATATTTATGTAAATATTATTTTATTTTTTTTTGTTGCATACAGTTTGTCATAATTGGATTAGCAGTAGTCGTAGGCCAGTGCTATACAAGCGGTTATGGCGGAGGTTATGGCGGCGGACTGGGAGCCGGCGGTATGGGTGGACTTGGACTGGGATTAGGTGGTGGCGGTATCGGTAGCATTGGTGGCGGCGGTGGTGGTGGTCGTGTAAACGCCGCCATTATTAGCTCACGTAGTCTACAGCTAATACCGACCGGCAGTCAACTGGGATCATCCGCACCGACCATTGTCGACATCGATAGCAGCGAACAACCCGTCCAATTGAATTTCCTCAGCCGATCGTCACCATTGTTGGCCACCCAAAACCATATCGGCCAACAGGGTAGTCATCAGTCCAGCCAATCAGTCGATCAGCCACATCAGCTCAGCCATGAAGTCGTACGACCTGTTTTCCAGATGGTCCGCGAAGTGGTTGTACCCCAACGTCAGATCATCCAAGAGATACGTCCGGTTGTCGAAAACGTCCAGACATTGGTGGCCGCGGGTCAGGGATTAGGCGGAGGCGGAGGAGGAGGAGGAAGACAATTGTCGACCGGTTTCGGTGGTCTCGGCGGTTCAATTGGTGCCGGTATTGGTTTRGGYGGTAAAGGAGGTKCYGGTGGTTATGGTATCGGTCTATCATTGGGTGGTTCGGGTAAAAGATATTAAGATAAAAGATATGGTTTTTTTTCGGTACCGGTTTTSAAACAACAATTTAATATATGAGAACATAATTTATATTTAATTATATATTTATATTTGTTTTAAAAATTTCATTTGTATTTTATTGCCAATAATTACAACAAATTGTTTGTATTATAATAAATATATTGTATATCAAAATAATATTTTTTTTAATTTTATTAAAAATCTGTATTAATAAACTGTAAATTTTAATTATGAAATTTTTATACTAATTTTAAAATATATAATAGTTTACTTTACTTTTAGATATAAATTAAATCAATATGATAATAAATTTATTTTTTTAAAAAATATTTTCACTTAATATACTATATATTTAAAACTTTATATAATTTGTAAAATTTTGTCTAGTTCTATTTATTTTTTCAAAAATTATAATTTTTTCAAAAACATAATATTTTTTACTTAACTAAATATATATATTTAACTTAAATAACAATTTGATAGTAGTGTTATTTAWATTGTATTTTAAATTAAGTATAATTAAATATATTTTTTATAAAATATAAAATAGTATAAATATATATATATATTTTTGTATTGTATATACAGTATAGATAGTTTAGTTGAGCAAAAATWAATTWAAATTAAATTAAAAATTTATAATATACTATTTTGTAAATATTGTATTTTAATTAAAACAATTAATAATAAATAAATATTTAAAAAACATAATAATAATAATAATGCAAAACATATTATGATCTAGAATTTTAWACACAATTTGCATTTATATATAAAAAAGTTAAAATGATATAAAAAAATATTAAATAAAACTATAAAACTTTATAATGAAATAGAAATCTAAATTATAGTACTGTATATAAAAAAAGTGAAAGTTTTATAAATAATAATAAAAATTAAAMTCTCATTTAATTTTTATATTCATAATTTYTTTAAGTTTGCAAAATATAYAWATATATATATAAAAATTAGTTTTATTTGATGTTTAATAAAAATGACAAAATATTTTTTGGGTATATATATAAAGGGTAGTCATCACCGACAGTCAGTCAAACATTAATTTAATAAACAGTTTTTAATTAATTAAATAACTATTAAAACTAGTAAAATATGTTTAAAGTTAGTAAACTATTACTGAAATTATTAATTTATAATTAATATTATATTTAAGTAAATATTATTTTATTTTTTTGTTGCATACAGTTTGTCATAATTGGATTAGCAGTAGTCGTAGGCCAGTGCTATACAAGCGGTTATGGCGGAGGTTATGGCAACGGCGGTGGATTGGGAGCCGGCGGTTTGGGTGGACTTGGACTGGGATTAGGTGGCGGTATCGGTAGCATTGGTGGTGGCGGTCGAGTAAATGCTGCTATTATAAGCTCACGTAGTCTACAGCTAATACCTACCGGCAGTCAACTGGGATCGTCGGCACCGACCATTGTCGACATCGATAGCAGCGAACAACCCGTCCAATTGAATTTCCTCAGCCGTTCATCACCGTTGTTGGCCACCCAAMACCATATCGGCCAACAGGGTAGCCATCAGTCCACCCAATCAGTCGATCAGCCGCATCAGCTCAGCCAYGAAGTCGTACGACCTGTTTTCCAGATGGTCCGCGAAGTGGTTGTACCCCAGCGTCAGATCATCCAAGAGATACGTCCGGTTGTCGAAAATGTACAGACATTGGTGGCCGCGGGTCAGGGATTAGGAGGCGGAGGAAGACAATTGTCGACCGGTTTCGGTGGTCTCGGCGGTTCAATTGGTGGCGGTATTGGTTTGGGTGGTAAAGGAGGCTCAGGTAGTGGCTATGGCATCGGTCTATCAATGGGTGGTTCGGGTAAAAGATATTAATAGGCAAACAGTTAGTTATTTTTCAAATGTATCCTAAAATTTATATATTAGATCTTGATTTAAGAAATTATTTTTTGATTATTATTGTAAAACTAATTAATTTTATTGTCAATAATTGTTTTTCCATTTTGTATTATAAAATATATATTGATATATTGTTAATATATAGTTTTTATATTTTTAAAATTAAATAAATAAATAAAAAATTAATATTATTGAAAAAAATGTCTATAGTTTATAGAAATTTATTAAATATATAATAAACATTTAATCATTTCTTAATTATTATAATAACATTTTTTTTGTTAAAATGATTTTTTTTAATTTAATATATATTTCTATTTTATAAATATATTTGTTTACTAAAAGTAATAATTTTTTATTACATTATAATATAATAAATATATATATTATTAATAGTTGTTAATAAATTTTTTTTTATAAATCCAACAAAATATTATATATTTTGATTATTAATAAAAAATAAAATTATTATTATTGTAAACTGTAATTTTAAATAAGATTATTTTATACTAATTTTAATTATATTTTAACAACATAGATATATTGAAATATTGAAGACGGATCATTTTTTTAATATTTTTGTTATTTTTATTTCAATAAAAATATTTATCAAAAAAAAAACAATTAATATTATATATTTTTTTTAATTTAAATTAGTCAACAGTTAGTTTTTTAGTAATACTATTTACAGTATATCTATTTATTAAAAATAAACAATAAAAAAACATAATTTTTTCAACAATATAATATTTCAGCAATAAATTAATTGTATATATTTATATAAATAATATATAATTTTGTGAATTTATAATTTTTTTTTATAATAAATATTTATTTATTTAATTATTATTTTTTTCATAATATTTTCATAAATTAATTATTGTTTAGTTTTTTTAAATAATAATAATAATAATTCAAAACATATTATTGCAATAGATTTGCAATCCCGGAGCCGGCGGGTTGGGTATAGTAGATAACACACTAGTTTTTTAACAGTTAAATAAATTCACACAATATTTATAATAAACAGGTTTTATTGTATATATATATATAAAGTATAGTAAATACAGTACAGTAGTAATACAGTAGAAGACCCCGAACCTAAACTTATGTTGGCGTTTATATAGGTGGCTCAGTTAGGTAGGGCCGGTATCCCTATCCAATAGGGACTGGTGGGTGTGTATCATAATAAATATATTACAGTATCCACTCCATCAAAATAATGACTGTCCTCAGTCATTGTTATATTTAATTAATATTAATATAATTTATATAATATTAATATAAGTAAAAAATTATTAAAACATTATTTATTTAATATATATTATATTTTGGACGTATTTTATGTCTGTTTGTCAAAAAATTTTTTTGAGTGTTATTTGAAATCAAATGACATGTGTTTTAATTCACTTGATTTCAAATTTACATCAGATTTTGTTTTTTTTTAATTAAATTTAATTATTATTTAATTATTTAGTTATTAATTTTATTTAGATTAATAAAGTTTAGTCAAATTTAATAGTTAAGAAAAATTAATAATAATAATAATAATAATAATAAGTGATTAATAATTTTTAGTATATTTTTTGTTGGACTGTATTGTATACAAAGGTTTGCTATTTATTTTATTTTTTATTTTTAAGTTTATTTAATGATTATAATTAATTTAGTTAATAATAATTTGTTGTTTTGTTAATTATATTACTAATTATTGTTAATAATAATTTTTTTTAAGTTAAAATTGAAATTTTTTTTTTTTTTATATACATATATATACTGATATATATATGATTAATATGTAATATTAATAATACATTTTTTTTTAAAAAAAAAACATTATCGCTTACTTTAATAGATAATAATAATAATAATAGTTATTATTATTATAAAATATACGGTGATATAATAATAGTAGTAGTAGTAGTAGTAGTAGTAAATAGTAAACAATTAATTATAATATTTTATAAGTAATAGTATAATAGTAATAATAATACAGTGATAGTAATAATTTAAATATTATCAAATTTTTTATAGTAGTTTTGATAATAATTTTTTTTTTAATAATAAAAACAATAATTTAATTTAATTTTTGGTGTATTTTGAGTTAGTAGTAATAATAATTATTATTTTGTAATAATAATAATAAGATTATTATATTTTGGTTGTTGTTGTAGTTTTGATAATATTAATTAATATTAATATTTTTTTGTATTAATAATAATAACATTATTTTGTTGTAATAATAATATTATTATTAATTTTTTTAAGCTGTAGTGATAATAGTATTGATAATAGTTATAATGTAATAATAATATAAACATGTGTTTGTCACGTGATTTATGTTTATATATTTTTTTTGACAATTAATATATATATATATATTTTAAATTAATATAGATTGTAATAATTATTGATATAATTATAATTAATGATTGCTTATATATTATATATTATAATATTAATTGTGAATATATATCAGTGATTATAATAATAATAATTTTTGTTTTTTTATATTAGTAGTAATAGTAATAATAATATATTAATAATTATTTTAATACCTTAAATATCATTTTGTTTTGTGTAATACTAATAATAGTATTGTTTTTTTTGATAATTATAATAATAATTGTTTATATATATACCCTTTTTTTTATTAGTATTAATAATACTATTTTTTTTTGTTCATATAATGATAATAATAATAATAATAAATTTTTTTAATTTAAAAATAATAATAATAACATATATTATTATTTTTAATTAGTAGTAATAATACATTTTTTTTGTTTTTTTTTTTTAATATAATAATAATATTATTATTATTTAGTTATAGTAATAATATTATTATCTTTATTATTTTTTTTTTGATAATAATAATAATTAGATTTTGTTTGTGTTAATAATAATAATAATAACAATTATTATTGTTTTATTTGGTGTGACAATAACAATAATATTAATAATAATATTATAGTAATAATAATAACAATTATTGTTATTGTTTTTTGTGATAATAATAATAATAATAATAGTAATAATAATTATTATTATTGTTTTTTTTTTGTGTGAATAATAATAATAATTATTATTATTGTTATTGTTTTTTTTCTATAATAATAATACTA